CTTTCCGAAGACTCGTCATGCCACGCACATTGTAGCGAACCACGTTCAATCCTTTCGAATTCCATTGGTGAGATGTAAGATCTACTCGAACAGCTTCATCCCACGAACCACTGCCTTGTGGAACCGACTCCCAAGAGGGTGCTTTCCGATCATTATAATCTTAATCTGTTGAAGCTGAGAGTTAACCGTTATTCCCCACGCATACCTACGTGTGCGTCTTATTCTGTAACCTTCTACGAGAACGTTTTTATTATTATTATTATTATTATTATTATTATTTTTTTCTTTGATTTCTGGCGTTTACACATTTCTTTCCGGGTCCCGCCCAGGGATCTAAGGTTAGAAATGGCGTCATGACACTTTCCACTGACAAAAAAAAAAAAAAAAAAGAATTAAATTACATAGATAAAGCCCTTCGTAAGGTGTTGGCTGTACTTGTCAGAACAATTTTTTGTATCTCCTTGAGGCATGGACTTCCAGGAATCCCTTCAATTAGTCTACTGCAATCTTTTCCAACCAGTCCTAGGGCTCCAACTACAACAGGGATTGTTGATGTTCCCATATGCCACATATTATTATTATTATTATTATTATTATTATTATTATTATTTCCTCTGACTTCTTTTGTATACTAATTTCCTTTCGGGTCCCAACCAGAGAACTAAGATCAGAAATGGCACAATGATATTTTCCACTGAATATATTTGTAATGAAAATAAAGATAAAACAGCTAAAGATCACAGCGTCCTGGGTATGACAATAAACTACATCCGCCTCCTGGGTATGTATGACGATAAACTACGTCCAACAGCAAGGCCTCTGATCAGGAGGTTTTGAGGAACGTGGAACCACCTCTTAATTGCTGATGTTACCAGGTCCACCATGACCCGGGGTGGTAACACCTGTTAGGGTCCCAGCTATGGGCAAATAGTTAACCCAGGAAACTGGGGTCAAAACACTATGAAAGTGTAAAAATAGGTTTTAATACCAGAAATACTTTGTAAACAATTGTCAGCAATAAATTTTTGAAGAAGAAATTAAAAAAAACAAATTCTTACCAGCAATATATTTTTGGAAAAAAATACCTACAATACATTTAAAAAAAAAATACTAACAATACGTTTTTAAAAAAGAAAATATTACCAGCAATACAGTTTTGAAGGAAAAAAATTATTACCAGAAATAGATTTTTGACAAAACAAAATATTACCAGCAATAAAAATTTTGTCGGCATTAAATAACCCATTGAGGTTGATATACCGTAAACCAAACCAAACCAAACCAAACCAAAGATCACATACATTTTACATAGATAAAACTCTTCGTAAGGTGTGAGCTGAAGTTGTGAGAAGGATTTTTTGTGTTTCCTTAAGGCATGAGCCACCAGGAATCCCTTCAAACAGTCTATCAGAAGACTTTACGGTCAAGGGCTCCAACCACAACTGAAATTATTGATGTTTTCATGTGCCACATGTTTCTAATTCCCACTTCAGGATCCTTGTATTTTGATAGTATTTTTTTTTTTTTTTTGTGAAGTTCTTCAAAGATACATTACTGTCTGTAGGAACTGCCATGTCAATGAGAAAGCACATTCTGTTTTCGTGGTCTTCGATCACAAAGTCTGAGCGATTAGCTTTGATTGCTCTCTTTGTGTGTATTGTAAAGTCCCATGAAATTATTACAGGTCCTATGTCTGTGACTGGCTCTGGGTGATGTTTATACAAACTTTTTTTAAATTTTTTTTTTTTCAGTTTCCTTCCCGTAATAGTGAAGATATTGGTCCACTCTATCATGTCGTGTGTTATATTCGGTGGATGCTAACATCGTGCAACCTGAAGCAAGATGGTCAAATCTTTCTATATTTGAATTTCGGGTCAACAAAATTTTCCAGTTGGTGTTCTTAGTAATTTTTAGTTAGCAAGAGTTGGTCTTGTGCAGCAAGAATAAAACCTTCGGTTTAAGCTTTTAACCCTTCCCTACGTAACCACTGATAGGTACGGGGTTTGTTTACATCAGCTTGCTTGGCACGGTCAGTATATTAACCATGAAGAAGCTTATGTTGCCATCGTTTCTGCATTTGGCACATTGCATTGGCTTTCGTTTTTAGGTTCTTTGCCGCTGCAGTATCTACATTACGGTTTAATTGCAATTGTTCATCTATCTTGAAATTCCATTTTGAATTTATTGCCCTTTCTTTATTACTTGTTCTTTTTCATGTTCTTTGACACAGATCCTCATCCAGTATTCTGTAGTTTCCAGGTATCTTTGAAGACCGATTGTTGCGGTTTTGTAAGAAAATTCTAGTTGAACTAATCCTCTATCGCCTTCGGATCTGAATAAAGACAATCAATAATAGGATGATGTATAGTGATTTTCCAAGCGTAGCTTAGATGTGGCACAAGGACAAAAGTATGGGTCATGTAGTTTGAATGATGTATATGGTAGCAAGTGAAAAACTTTCTCGTTTTAACATCCATTCACCCAACAGTAAAATGCTAAAACCTAACTGCCAATCTAATCCTTCGCGAATTCAAGGTACCTAAAAAGAAATCTGATTATAGCAATTGGCATGAATAAAGCAAAGCGAAGCTATCTTACAGCGGTGGGAATTTGGATGAAGCCAAGATGCCATATCAGAACTAGCGATATTGAAAATATTTCTTTAGATTTTGTTAAGAATCTCTAGACGCATCAGTCAGTTATATGCCATATGTAATACACGCTTAGGCGATCATGTATCTTTCGATACATGACTGATGAGGCAGATTTTTTTTTCCCCGCAGAAGGTTGCCATTTCTTTCTGCGATACACCAGTTGCCATCCAAGGTCTGTCCTGCTATTTGGCCAGAGTGGTGGGGGAGAAGAAGATTCATACGTTCCCCAAGGGAATCAGCACGTAAGAAAATGTAATGAATTCGACTAGAATCCGAACCGCTATCCATTACTTCACCTATGCTAGACACAACAGAACCAGATGTGGCTGCAATACTCAGTGAGTGCATAGAAGAATGATAGATATACAAAGGTGCAAGATAGACTTTGAAGGGAGAAAACTATATTCAAAAAGCAAAACAAGCTCAGCAAACAACAAGCGATTCTCCGTGACAAAAATATTTCATTGCGGCAGATACAAAAAAATAATGAAGACAAATATGGAGAATTTGTATGCTGTTTTGATATTGAATAGAAAAAGGTTATATAATCTAAACGTTTGCATGTCATACACTTTTTTAAATTCTTCACCTGGGCATAATGATTTACAATCCTTGGCTGAAGGTCAGATTCTCTAGATTTGACCACCAGAGAGACTATTTTAAAGAAATATCAAGGACAATAAATGCACACAAAAACCTTTCTTTTTTTCTTTCTTTCTTTCTTTCTTTCCTTCTTCTTTCTTTCTTTCTTTCTTTCTTTCTTTCTTTCTCTCTATCTCTCTCTCTATCTCTCTAACTCACGATCTACCTTACACGAACACACAAATACACGTCTTCTCACAGAGACAATCATTTGAAGATCATTTAATTGATAATATCTTCAATATTCCTAGGAAATTAGGAAATATATAGATAGAGATATAGAGACAGACTGAGATAGATAGATAGATAGATAGATAGATAGATAGATAGATAGATAGATATGGACAAACTGTGGCAGAAAGAAAGAAAGAAAGAAAGAAAGAAAGAAAGAAAGAAAGAAATGAACAGGAATAAATAGATAGATAGATAGATAGATAGATAGATATATAGATAGATAGAAAGCGCAAGATCACATCTCATACATATATGAACATACAGATGCAATCATTTATGGGTCATTTAATCTATTATGTTTATTTTCATCAGATGATGCGAAAGAAGTTAAGATAGATAGATAGATAGATAGATAGATAGATAGATAGATATGAACAAGCTTTGATAGTAATATAGATAGATATGTAGATAGATATGGACAGACTGAGACAGAAAGAAAGAAAGAAAGAAAGAAAGAAAGAAAGAAGTAGCAAGGGATAGATAGATAGATAGATAGATAGATAGATAGATAGATAGATAGATAGATAGAGATAGATAGATAATGAATATTTCAGATAGGGTATATCTGTAAAAGGACAGTATCAATAAAAATGAAATGAAAATTTATCTTAGCCAATGAATTTCGTCCTCTGATTTTATCAAATTATTATTTTGTAACAAGTATTTTTATACAAGAGAAAAAAATGCTATTGTTTTTAAAAACATTTAAATTTAAGAAGGTTCATAAATATTCATCACGTGAGCCAAAAAGTCAAGAGGACGTGAAGTGACCCAATTCAATGTCAATGAATGAAAATGGGTGAGTGATGCTCATTATTATTTTTAATTTATATGTAAATTACTTTATTTTGTGATTAATTTATGTGTTATATATTTTAAATAACAAGAAATTTTAAATTTAATCGTTTTTTTAAAATATTTTTGACATTTTTATAGACAGATATGAACAATTACATATAGATAGATAGATAGATAGATGTGAACAGTCATAGGCAGTTATACAGAAAGAAGAAGAAGAAGAAGAAGAAGAAGAAGAAGAAGAAGAAGAAGAAGAAGAAGAAGAATTATGTGTCGGTAGATGATTAAGTAAAAACACGTTTAAATAGAAAGAAAGAAAGATAGAAAGAAAGGAAGAAGGAGGGAAGAAGAAGATTATATGTGTCAGTAGATGATTATATAAGTATAAACAGGCTTAGGTAGATAGATAGATAGATAGATAGATAGATAGATAGATAGATAGATAGATAGATAGATATGAATAGCCATAGGCAATTATTCAGAAAGGAAGAAGAAGAAGAAGAAGAAGAAGAAAGAAAGAAAGAAAGAAAGAAAGAAAGAAAGAAAGAAAGAAAGAAAGAAAGGAAACATTATCATGTGTCGGTAGATGATTATATAAATATAAACACGTTTAAATAGAAAGAAAGAAAGAAAGAAAGAAAGAAAGAAAGAAAGAAAGAAAGAAGATTATTATTATATGTGCCGGTAGATGGTTATATAAGTATAAACAGGCTTAGATAGATAGATAGATAGATAGATAGATAGATAGATAGATAGATAGATAGATAGGGACAAATTTTTGAAAATAGGAACCTCCTTAGAGCAGACAGTGTGTCGCCAACAGTCTGTAACAGTATCTCAGCGAATTAACCTATTCCGCAACACGAACCTTCCCATCCACCCATCTCGTTGCCTCCTCCTCTGTCTTCAGAAAAAGTCAAACTCCAAGAATGGATGCAAAAACTAAATTTGGGTCTTGTGTAAACATTTGGGACGGAGATACGTGTTCGGCACTGGCGGACAGGCAAGGGAGAAAAGAGAGTATTTGTTAAAAAAAGAAAAAAGTCAAGTCAGGAGAAGGCCAAGCCAGGCGTAGCATCACCGGCAAAGGATCATTGTAGGTCTGTGTAGAGCACGCCGCCTGGTGTAAAAATAGATCCCCACGGAAAAAAAAATATCCAAATTAAGATAAGGAAAAAACAAGAGAACAAAGGAAGTGTATATGTTTAGGCAGATTAACCGAGTGCGGTACAAAGATATGGAGGATACATTGCGATAGAAGAAATATGTTGAGTCAATCTATTAACTCGAATAGAATCTACTTTGCGAGGGAAAAAAGCATCCGTAATCCTGAGTTTTAACATGGCTCGAAGATCGACCTCGTATCTCAACCATAAAGCAGGTAGTTAGCATTTTTTTTCATCAAGGTTAATTCTATCTGTTCCAAGGTAACTTATATTTGGACAACGGCAAAAAAAAAAATTGGACTTTGCGGTATTAGTGAAAGGTATGTGTAACTAGACAATTAATCGATACTCTATTTAAAACAACCGACAAAGAAGTTGAAAATACTATTGAAATACTACTACTGTTGCTATTACTTACTAATACTCCTGCTACTATCACTACTACTAATACTACTTCTTCTTCTACTACTACTACTACTAATAATAATAATAATAATAATAATAAAAGAATATCAAGAACAAAAAAGACAAGAAGTCGGTACTGAAAGAAAAGCTAAAAGCAAGAGATGCAACGCAGCTTCATGACCTCTTTGAAAACTTCTTCGTATTGCGTCCATGCAGGACGTATGTTATCATGGCACTCCACAACGTCCTATCTTTTGTAGATCTCAGTAACCTTTGTCTTTACGTTATACATCACATGCCACGGATCTTTTCTGTTACTTCACTCCAATGTAAACAGAATTTATATTTACTAAAATTCACACGAAATTGTTCCTGTGCGAGGCCCTTCCGTTGAACACTGGCAGGGCTGACCTTTGCGATCGCCCCAAATGAGGGCCACTCGGGTGGTTTATTTCTATGTGTAGGGACTACATTCGCGTTCACCCCTGTAAATAATTCCTTGTAAGTACCTCGAATATCATCTGCGCTTAAGAAATGTGATTTTGGTAAGTTTTAATTCAGAGAGTTGGAGCTGTTACGGGACAAGATAAACAAATTTGATTTAAAATTTATAATTTCTTAAATTAATATTTGTGTTAAGTAACTTTTCATTATTTGGGGTGACTTAACAGAAAAGATCATATATATATATATATATATGTGTGTGTGTGTGTGTGTGTGTGTGTGTGTGTCTGTGTCTGTGTCTGTATATATATATATATATATATATATATATATATATATATATAAATTCCCAAGAGGATAAAATCCATGTAGAACACAATGTCCAGAACAGAGTAAGAATATAATATAAAAGGCTCAAAAACTAATATTCCATGGTTATAATTTATTACATTGGAATCGTAATCACGATCAATTCGTCAGACCTACAAATTCATAAAGCTTTTTTGAATTTGTAGGTCTGATGGATTGATCGTGATTACGATTCCAATGTAATAAATTATAAACATGGAATATTAGTGTTTGAGCCTTTTATATTATATATATATATATATATATATATATATATATATATATATCCGAATAAACCAAAATCTGAATCAAACCGAATATCCCATCGCTTCAGAAGTCTGCATTTCTTGGTACTGCAAATATTCTGTGAAAGGCACTATCATTTTGAGGTCGTACGACTTGAATGAGGACATCCATAATGCAAGAACTTCGGCTGAAAGAAAAGCCATGTGGAAGCAATAATAATAATAATAATAATAATAATAATAATAATAATAATGAAATAACAGTCAACAGACATGACATTATCATAAAAGAGAAGAAATTCAGGAAGTTAAAAATGAAAAAAATCGAGAAATTTTCGAGAAACTTTCCAAATACAAGGACCTGGAGATCGAGATTAACAGGATGTGAGGAATGAAGGTTGAGACTGTACCAATAGTAATCGGAGCTCGTGGTCTCGTGAGAAAAGGAATGGACAATTTTACTAACAATGTCCCGGGCAACATCAACATACAAGTTACTCAGAAGACCGCCCTACTAGGAATCTCGCATATAGTAAGAAAAGTACTATTAATTAAATGACTATTCTCCTATAGGTTCTAAGGACCACAGATTAGGCCCGGCTCTACAGGATATAAACCAGGAAACATAACATATACAAATAATAATAGTAATATGGAAGATGATCTGTGTCAAAGAACACGAAAGAAATAAGAAACATTTGAATAATAAATGAGGCCAATAAATTTCAAAAGGAAATTTCAAGTCGATGAAGAAGTTCAAATAAACCATAATAACAACTACAGCAACAAAGAACATGAGAAAAGAAAAGAAAAACAAATACAATGTACCAAATAGAGAAACGATGGCAAGATAAGCTTCTTCATGGTCAATACTCTGATCGTAAAAAAAAAGCTGATGTAGACAAACTCCGTACTCATCAAGTGCAGGGTTAAAACCTGTAGCCGAAGAATTTCTTCTTGCTGCACAGGACCAATGATTGCTAAGGAGAAATTGCCAAGCACACAACATGCAAAAAAAAAAAAAAAAAAAAAAAAACTCTGATAAATATCCAGAAAAAATGTATCAGGTTTTGATCTTCAACAAACTATCAAAATACGATGATCTTGAAGTGGAAATCTCAAAAAGTGTTACATGAGGACATCAATAATTCCTCTTGTAGTTGGAAGCCTCGGATCGATTGTAAAAGGGCCCAATAGACTCATTAAAACGATTCCTGGTAGCCATGTCTTAAAAATTAATACTCACAAATACAGCTCACATACACTACTTACATTATTCAGACTATTGTTCTCATCTTTGTTGCCATATGTATCACAACGTTTCGGCTGTTGTACACTCCGGCCTTCTTCAGGTGGTTGGAATGTCGAATTGAACCCTTTATTTCGCTCGCTTGATGCTCGAAATGGATGTCAGTTATCAGGACACATTTGGATAACGGCGTTGGTTAGATCCAGTGATAGGAACCAAAAAGCGTGAGTTCAATACCTGGTTAAGGCAATGGAGAACTTGGGCAGGTGAATTAACAGGAGATTACTGACAACTGACATCCATTAGACATGGCACGTAGAACTAGAACAGTCTACCCCAGTGAGCGAAATAAAGGGTTCAGTTTGACATTCCAACCAACTGAAGAAGGCCGGATTGTGATAAATATGGCAACAAAGTTGTGGACAATAGTCCGAATAATGTAAATAGTGTACATAATACCTCATCTCAGAAATATAGACACATACTACAGCTCACATGTTTCAAAGAGTTTGATTTATATACAATGTGTGTGATTTTTTGTTGTTTTTTTTTCCACCTAAATGATCAGTAGAAGATGTCATTAAGACATTACTGGAGAAGAGTGAAAGAAAGTAGAAAAGTAAGAGAATAAAATGAGAGGAGGAAGATAAAACGAAAACAGTGGACGGCATGAGAGTGGGAGAAGGAAAGAGACGTAGTAAAGATATGAAAAGGGCGAAGTAGAAGGTGAAGAAAAAAAGGAAGACAAGAAGAGAAATTACGAAACAAAGTATGAAGATGAAGAAAACAAAAAGACGACGAAGATGAAGAATAAAAGGCAAAGAAGAAAGAGAGTGGATTAAAGAAGAATAAAAAGGGATAGAAGGCGAAATGAGTAGGATGAAGAAAAGCTTAAATTGTTATACCATCGTATAATTATAGAAAGGATTGAGATAGAAGAAGCAAAGGAAAGGGGAAGAAGAAGAAGAAGAAGAAGAAGAAGAAGAAGAAGAAGAAGAAGAAGAAGAAATATATCAGAGGAAAAAGAAGAGGATATGGATTAGAAGACATGGATTAGAAGAATACCACCACCACCATCAACAACAACAACAAAAAGAAGAAATTGATTAGAGGAAGAAGAAGAATAAGAAGAAGAGGATAAGAAGAGAAGAAGAAGAAGAGATGTAGAGTAAGAAGATGAAGAAGAAGGAGAAGAAAAGAAGAAGAAGGAGGAGGAGAACAAGAAGAAGGAGGAGAAGAAAAGAAGAAGAAGTAGGAGAAGAAAAGAAGAAGAAGGAGGAGGAGGAGAAGGAGAACAAGAAGAAGGAGGAGAAGAAAAATAAAAAGAAGAAGAGAAGAAGAAGAAGAGTAGGAAGAGAGGATAAGAAGAAAAAGAAGAAGAAGAAGGAGGAGCAGGAGGAGGAGGAGGGTAAAAAGACGAAGAATGAGAAGAAAGAGGAGGAGGAGGAGAAGAAAAAGAAGAAGGGGAGGAGAATAAAAGGAGGAGGAGGAGGAGTAGGACAAGGGGAGGCTGAGGAGGAAAATAATAATAAAAAAAATGAAGAAGAAGAAGAAGAAAAATAATAAGAAGAAGAGTAGGAAGAGGGGATAAGAAGAAGAAGGATAAGAAGAAGAAGAAGAAGAAGAAGAAGAAGAAGAAGAAGAAAAAAAAGAAGAAGGAGGAGGAGGGTAAAAAGACGATGAAGGAGAAGAAAGAGGAGGAGGAGAAGAAAAAGAAGAAGGGGAGGAGAATAAAAGAAGGAGGAGGAGTAGGACAAGGGGAGGCTGAGGAGGAAAATAATAATAATAAAAAAGAAGAAGAAGAAGAAGAAGAAGAAGAAGAAATTTAAAAAGGGATGGAGGGAAAATTAAGCGGATAAGTGAAGAAGTAAAAGGGAAGAAAATGAAGAATAATAAGACTGTGGGGGGGGGCAGGGCGAGGCCGGTTATGCAATGGTCAGCTTTGCAGAATAAGATGAAACGTTTTCTTCCATTGGTTGTAAAATATCCATAGGAATTCCTCCATTTCTAACCTTCACGACTAGGAGCCGCCATGCTACGTACATTGCAGCGGACCACCGTCACCCGCTTCTTATTCCACTGGTGAGAAGTAAGTTCCCCTCGAGCAGCTTCTTCCCACAAACCGCTGCCTTGTGGAACCGATTACTACAATCTTAACCTGTTCAAGTCTAGGGTCAACCGATAGCTTTCTCGCATATTTAATAAACGCTCTCTCTCTCTCTCTCTTAATCTGCAATCCTCTACCGCGAATGCTTCTTTGGCCTTCTACAGGGTGAACATCATTGTAAGAAAATGTACTATAAAAAAAACATCAAGTAATTTACAATTATGTTTTTATTTATTTTGACACTATAATAATTTTTGATGGTGTTTATAATTTCACTACTTAAAATACCAGCCCGAAACCTAAACACACCTCCTCTCTCTCGTCTCCTGAATTGTGCTGGATGATGCCATTCCATGCAGGGCACAAATTTAAACATAGTTCTTCCAGTGTAGCTGTAGATTCATCACTAAAAATTACTGTTGACAAGTCAGTTTTCATAGACTTCTTTGCCCTCCATACAAGATCCTCTTATAGATGTTTACTTAAAGGTGGTATAGGTTTCTTTTGTTTGTTTTATATTCTTAACCACTTCTCTTAATATCCAGATTCTGTCTTCTCTCTGTTTACATTTGAAATACCAGCTTCTCCAAATAGTTTCTTGCTGGTCAATCAGCTTTTCTTGCTTATTAGCTTATTTATAAAAATATTTCTACAAAAGACTTTCAAAAACGTTTAAAGATAAATCTATTTAACTCTGAAAATCTCAATAAAAATATTTTCGTTTTTTTTTTAAGAACAATATTTTGGTGATATCAACGAACACTCGTTGCCACTTTGTGGTGCTCGTTGTAGTAGAGACTTTGTAATCGCAGATACAACTATATAACGCCGTTGAACAATACTGGTGTCAGACGCCTTCGAATATGACTCGCACTAATAGTACACGTTCGATAATACTCTCTGGAATGGTAATCACCGTATTTTTAATGAATTAAGTTTAATTCTAGAACAAATCATTCATCGAGTCCGTATTAAGTTAGTAGGTACATGTTAACTTTGTTAGTTATAAAGTTAGCTGGAAATTTAAAAAAAAAGTCCTGCCGATTTCAGCTATCTTTAAATAGGCTTCTCACTGTACAATACATTCTAAGTATTATGGTACACAGTCGAGAAAGCATGCGTTATAACAATGAAGAGGAATGAAATCTCACAAGCCTTTGCTAGTGAGTTCCCGCTTCACTATGTGTCATTGTATCAGAGTAAGTTTTATCTTCTCAGGCATCGAATAGCAAGCAAATCTCGCGGCCCAGAAAGTTCCATTATCATTATTTTATAATGTCAACGAACACTCGTTGCCACTTTTGTAATGTCAACGAATACTCCTTATTACTTTGTAGAAGAGACTTGGTAATTGCAGATACAACTATATAATGCCGTTAAACAATACAGGCGTCAGGCGCCTTCGAATATCCCTAATAGTATTTGTTCGATAATACTCGGTCGAATCGTAATCCAAATAGAGAAATAGTATAGCGAATAGAGTAGAGAAGAGCGGTCCATATGTTATAGAGGACAGAGTAGAAATGCAGATCCGAATAGTAATAGAGGATAGACTAGAAACGCAGATCCGAATAGTAATAGAGGATAGACTAGAAATGCAGATCCGACCAGTAATAGAGGATAGACTAGAAATGGAGAACCGAATAGTAATAGAGGATAGAATAGAAATGCAGATCCGAACAGTAATAGAGGATAGAGTAGAAATGCAGATTCGAATAGTAATAGAGGATCGACAAGAAAAAATGCAGATCCGAATAGTAATAGAGGATAGACTAGAAATGCAGATCTGAATAGTAATAGAGGATAGAATAGAAATGAAGATTCGAATAGTAATAGAGGATAGAATAGAAATGCGGATCCGAATGGAAACAGTGGATAGACTAGAAATGCAGATCCGAATCGTAATATAGGATAGACGAGAAATGCAGATCCGAATAGTAACAGAGGATAGACTAGAAATGCAGATCCGAATCGTAATAGTCGTCACGATACTTTCTATTTATGCGTTTCCTCTATGGCCACGTGATCCACTTAATTCAATAATGGTATCGCCTGTGTTTGCTCACTGGCGGTCTATGTTCAAACTGAAATGTCGCAGCGACACTTTATTCCTATATAACAAATGGAATAGTAATCAAGAAAACAGTAGATAACGATTGATTTAATTTTTGTAGATCAAATTTGGTTGGAAAGCATGTAGCCGGAAGAAATTTTCACAAATGAGAAGTGCGGGAAAAGAAACTCTGATTGTCGAGGTTGCGGTTACATCTAGTCAAATCAGCTATGAATTGATGTGACCTTGCCACCAATCTCTAGCACTATGTTTAAATATATGAAATCTAGGTACCATAGCGAATAGTTCATCCGAACAATTACTGTGAATGTATTTCTAGAAAAGGCACAAGGAAGCTACATTTCTATGTGTTGTAACGTAGAAAAGATTTACTGAATGAGGAATAACTAAAACAGAGATTGGAAATGAAATGGTAATCTTTATAACATCCACAAAATATATTACTATATATAGCGGCATGAAGCAGGTAAACCACAGCTAGTCGTGAACTAATTAGACATCATATTACCCCCCACTTACAATAGTGCCCAACGTATTAAAGATGACTGGGACATACCCATTAGTGTTCATAGGTACGGTATATAATAATAGTAAACGCTTTGGCAATCTTTATAACATCAACAAAATACAATACTCGCCAGCGCCATGAAGTAGGTAAACCACTGCTAGTGGTGGACTAATTAAACAGCACATTTTCCCCCACTTACAATAATGTCCAATGGTGATGAGGATTGGGACATAACCATTAGTGTTCATAGGTACGGTATATAACACTATGCAAGACACAAATTTAGGCATAATCCATCCAATGTAGTCGTAAATACATCACTAAAAATTACTGTTGACAAGTCAGTTTACATAGACGTCTTTTCCCTCCTTAGACGTTCCTCTTATATATGTTTACTTGCTTTTTTCTTTCGTTTTTCATGTTCTTTAGCCACTTTTCTTAATATCCTTCTTCTTTCTTCTCGTTGTTTACATTTGAAATACCAGCTTCTCCAAATATTTGCTGACTGGTCAATCAACTTTTCTTGCTTATTACTTTATTATTTTTCTCAGACTTCTTTCTCTGACATTTCTAAAGCCAGGTTATTTTTGTTTTTATGCTGCCAATGTCTGTCATTGTGAATCAGTTCCCAAGTTGGTTTTGTTTTGCAATATTCTACATTGTGTTCTTATCACGCAATAAATTAATAATAACATCTTGTTTATATCTTGTTAAGTCTTTGTAATGGGAACATTCATTTTTTTTTAAATAAATTTCATCTGAGACAAGGCTCGAGAGTTACTCAAGGTAGAGGATTATAATTGTAATAATAAATGAGTAGTTTGGTATAAACCGGATTGGTTGTTATATTTTTTAGCAGCATATCAACCTCTGGGTTATTTAAGGCCGAAATCTAATTTTTTTTACATAATTTTATAGTTTCAGGCTAACGGTATATATATATATATATATATATATATATATATATATATATATATATATATGAATAAATATATATATATATATATATATATATATATATATATATGAAGAAATATACTCTTAAGGTGTGCTACATTTATGGGATAAAGTACTCAGTAGCAGAGATAGATAGTGTAAATAAAAAAAAAGTGAAATAAAAATCATAAAATCACTTATATATATATATATATATATATATATATATATATATATATATATATAGGTGTGTGTGTGTGTGTGTGTGAAAATATATAGAAAATAGGAAAGAACTCAATATATATATATATATATATATATATATATATATATATATATATATATATATATAGTCATCCACAGACAGACTGTTTCGCTGTATCACAGCTCCTCAGTGTGACTAGATGTCCAATTGCGTGAAGCCGGGAAAGAAAACCGACTGATTTGACATCAATCATATATCTAGGACAGAAAGCAAGGGAATTTTAACGTTTTTCTTTATACGAAATACACCAGCAGCTCCGAGACCATAATTCAATTTACTTGATGAGTAATGCTTGATAGCAGTAGGAGCCGCTATTTTTTAAAACGCTTTTTCCCTAGAGAGCTCAACCGGAATTCCGGGTGCATATATATAGCCAGCCACAGAGAAACTGTTTCGCTATATCACAGCTCCCCAGTGTGGCTATATATATATATATATATATATATATATATATATATATATAAAAAAAAGAACAGTAAGATATTTAATAATAATAATAATTGTTACTAATAATATACATATTTATACCTGATGTGAAAATAATTCTACATACTGTAAAGGATTCTAATACATTTACTTGTTCTTAAAAGAAATATAGTATATTAAAAATTAAAAGTGAAAATATTTTTCAAATCGAAGTTAAATAAAACGTATTCTAACCTAAACACTCCCCAAAAATCATTAAATATACAAATAGAAAAAAATGCCGTAAGAATTTTTGCCGTTAACAATAAAATTTTTAAAAATCCAGACGACATGCATTTAACGGATGTCAGATTTCATTGAAAAATACATCCCTACCCCTACCAAAACGTAACTAATAACTGATACATAAAAATACAGCCATAATGAACACGCAAACACCCCTCGTCTGGTTGAAATGAATTTCTCTGTATCCTTGGAAACGTGAATTATGATTTTAGCCGTGTCTTTAAAACCCAGTAATTTTATAAGTTACTCCAAAATTCGCTTGAGGGTGAAATGGAACCAATGTCTTTAATTTAATTACAAAATTAAATTCGGAGCTTTCAGCTTCCATTTTTGAAACATGGTTAGAACTGTAGTGAAAAAAACATATTTTAAATCAATTAATTTATAATATATAGATAGATAGATAGATAGATAGATAGATAGATAGATAGATAGATAGTTGTAGCTTCTTTTCCCTCAATTCTCGCTCGTAGAACCCTCTTCCGGTTTTTACTTTCCAGTCAAGTTTAATCTTCAAAAGTTGAAATGGAATGTCAACCGTTATCTTAGATCTTAATTACTGTACTTTCGTTGTTTTCGGGTTTTAATGATTTTTGTTTTACTTTTTATACAAGTCGCATCAATTCACAGTTGAATTGGCTAGATGCAACTGCATTTCTCGCTTGTGAAAATCTCGTTCGACTCCATGTTTCTCTGCCAACTCAGATCTTCAAAAATTTAAATGCAACATCAATCGTTATCTATTCTCGTCATGATTAATATTCTATTGTTGTGAAAAAACGAAAAAAAAAAAAAATAAATAATTATAAGATATTATTAATATATATATATATATATATATATATATATATATATATATCAAACATGTTGTGCAGTTCAATTTATATTACAATGAGTCATTCATACAAAAAGCAGATCAGTAAAGTTAATGATATAAAATGGCGAAATCCCTTCGCAAACAAAATTTTAAAGGTGCATTAACCTACAAATTACTCGATGAATGTTATGATCCTTGCTTTTAAAAATTATGAACTGTATAAGGTCTTTCGCAAGTACTTTCAACTATACATTCAGTCATCTTCAGGCACGGAAATTATTTTGTTTTTGCTAAAATTCAGGTAGAACCCAAGACGAAAAAATTAAGTTCGATTCCCATTTAATTTTTCGTCTCGGATGCAACCTGAATTGCGAAAGACCTTATACAGTTTATAATTTTAAAAAACAAGGATCATAAAATTCATCGAGTGATTTGTAGGTTAATGCACCTTTAAAATTTTATTTGCGAATATATATTTTGTAGATCATTAAATATATTGTTGGTAATTTTGTTAAAAAGTATATTTTTACGTTTTATAGCGTTGCATTGATTGTCATTTTCCGATAAAAGAATGTATTTCGCTCATTTTATTAAAAAAATGTACTGCACATTTTTCTTTAGTGGTTCATTATTTGCCATGTCAAGGACCCTAACAGATGCTACCACTACAGATCAGGGTGTACCTGGAAACAACAGCACGTTCATCAAAAACATGCAAGCTGTCGATCAGAGGCCATGCAGACAGATGTATACCATTTTAAGTTCAATTTGGAACTAATAAAAATCATTTTTGGACTAAGCAAGTTCATATTGAAATAGCCAATTTTAAACTGGAATAGACAAATTCAAAATGGGACATAGCAACATAAAAATGGAATAGTTAAATTTCATTTGGAACTTTGCAAGTTTAAAATGGATTAGGCAAATTCAATTTGGGATTGAGCAGTTAGTTTGCTAAAAAAGACTTTAAAATTAAATATTTTCATAATAAAATAATAATATTCAACTAAACTTTACTATTGAAGTCTTTTATCTTCTAGGAACAATCAATAAATCAAGAAAATTCATGAAAGGTGTTTTTTTGGATGCAACTTTCAGCGCTTAAAATCTCTCACTATACTTATCTTTTTTCAAACTCTGTCTTGATCTATGCATTCAATATTTCCTTGTTGCTTTTTCTTAGCACTTTCGAACTTTGCCCTGTTATCACCCAAATCATTTTATTTTGAATAACTTTCTCTTATTCTCTCTTTTTGATACTATATACAGTCTATCCATCTCTTTCTTTTTCTCCTCTTTTCCGTGACTATCGTACCAATGAAAGTGCCAGAAACTCTAACTTTGACACAAAATTATCCGTTCAAGAATAGCCTCTTAAAACGCTGTGCGCCGATTTTTAATTATCTGATTTTACAGCCCAGTTGATTTTTTAATTCATATTTGTTTCTTGAAACGCGCAGATAAGTTCGAAACATTTTTCCATAATGAACCTGCCTAATCGTAATTTAAACTTGCTTATTTCATCTTGAATTTGCTTCGTTCCAAATCAAACTTTTTTATTTCATTTTGAATTTGCTTAGTCCCAAAATGACATTGATTTGTTCCAAATTGAATTTGAAATGGTATAGTTTATCGTCATAAACGGAAGAGAAGACGGTATGAAGATTAGGAAGACAGATAACGATTGACCATTGACTTGAAGAGGCTAAGATTGAAATATTCATGGAAGTGGGTGTTTCTTCCGCGAAGTGGCAGTTCGTGTGAAAAAGAAAACTTTTTAAATGAAACTTTCTTGTTTTATTTGGATACCAATGGAAATAATATTCATTCATTCCTATCGAGGTATCATCTGAACTGGTGAACCTAGAGAATGAAGCTTATCTGAATAGTTGCCATGAAAATAGCTACACAGTAGCGACAGGCTTGCAATATTGCGTCTTGGACTAATCTGATTCTTGCAAAGTTGAAACACAACTGAATACTTCTCGAGGTGATATAGGAAACCGACAATGTTTTCAATATCTTCAACAATGGGTTGTAGATATGGGTTCAATTTGACGACTGGGTTGATCTTGAGACCCAATAGCCGTTCATAGAATGGAGCCACATTGATAGCGAATCTCTCTACTTTGAACAAATGGTGATAGAACGATAGGAATTTGTTGTTGGAACTGTTGAAAGTTATAAGTCCGTTATTTTTCGATTCGCTGTGTCAGAAGAGAGATTGGCTGCAAGGCTCCGATCACTTTGAGTTTTGTAGGTGTGTGTGTGAACATCTGAACTAATAAAAAATACAATAACTATATTGTCATATACTCGAAGAAGCCGTAAAAGTTTTACGATTTTCCTATTTGAATTTTCAGATGAAACTTAATTCTGAAGTTAAAGATTCAATAAGCTCATGGCAAGATCTACAACAATAAAATACCCCGTAAAAATTCCATTATAGCATCGTTAAATATTTGATCCTAACAACTTTAACAATGCAGGTCATTATTTAATGAAGTAAGAGGATACAAATGATTTGAAATTGAAAACTTTTTCTGTTTCACTGAAACATATGAGTGAGCTATCACCTCTTCTATCCGTTTGTCTTTCTTTCTTTCTTTCATTCATTTTCTCACTGAAACCAAGTAGCGTTTCTGATATGTTTTTACCGTCTCGCTGAGCGATTTAAACGGAATAGTTCATTATTCATGAGGTATTGACGGGGCGTAACGATCATTGCTTTCTTTCTTCCGTTCTTTTATCTTTCTTTCATTCACTTTCTCACTAAAACCAAGTAGCGTCTCTGATATGTCTTTTCCGTCTTTCCCTGCGATCAAAATGGAACAATCCATTATTTATGAGGTATTGGCAGGGCGTAACGCACGTGCTAACAAAGGGTTTAAGGGAGACAAAATCAGAATTGTGAAATACTTCTTCGTTAACCCGTCGCTTCGCTGACGGCAAGATGATTGAATTCTAAATTGTCTTTTTAAAATAATCGATTCATTAGAAAAAAAATTCCATTTTAAATAGAGGAGTCATAGGAATGAATTCAAAGTGTCTCGTATTTCTGCTTTTTTGCTACCAGACTGAAAGGGAAATTATTCCCCACGAAAAAGATTTTCATTTCAATTTGTGTGTGTTACGTGTATAAGTTAATTCAATCAGAGACCTAAAAATATTTCTACAAAAGATTTTCAAAAAGCTTCAAAAATACATCTGTTTATTCCCGGATAATATCTGAAAATCTCAATAATATCTTATAATTATCTGATTTTTAAATATTTTTTCGTTTTTTCAAAACAACCGATACCTTGATCTTGTTCCTTGTCCTTCTGTATATCCTTTCCTCAAACACGCCTCTTTACTCTTATCTCAATCCTCTGTAACCCCTTGCGTGCTAGTGGCACTCCCGCCTTGCTTGGGGTGGATTGCTTAAAAAAAATAAACAAAGAAACTAGGTTGGTTGATTATCCCCTCTTTGATGTTTTGCTCCTGTCATCGACAGATATTTCACCTGATGTGGAGAAGTTAACGAACAATAAGCAGAAACAAGTTTCTCATTAAATAATTTGTGATTTCTGTGTTTCGTTTGTAGTAAGAAATTTGCATTTTTTGTAGATTGTGTTAGTTTGTATGGACATTATTATTATTGTAAAAAAAATTTAAATAAATATAAAATAATCATAATAATAATGAAAATTATGAATAAAATAAAACAATAACTTAAAAACGTTTCATAAAATAAATTAAATACGAATTGAATAAATAAAAATACTCCCAGCATGCAACAAAAACTGTATCTGACGGAAATACGGACATCCTGCTAAAAGACGTTAAATTCAACCTCTTCATCCCGAACCATGGTACGAGCAACACGTGTCTAACTTCTCTCTGTGATAGGGCTTGTAATACTACCGAGTAAATTTCTACCTTTTATCATATGTACAACAAAACACACAAAAATATGAATAAATTGTATAAAAGTATCATACAACTTACCGTGTTTTCATGTTATTTGTGTACGTTTTATTTTATGTCAAGTATGCATTTATCTCCGTGAAAACGAAGCTAAGTTCTGCTGCTATATGAGTAAATCTCTCACAAGTCGTTATTCTGTTATTCCTGCAGTAAAAGAAAGAAAAAAAACTTGTTTAAATAACATAACATTAACTTCGTTGTTTCTTCTTTAAACCTCCAGACTAAGGCAGCCTTCTGGACGGATCAGTCTGAGATCAAGACATTGATATCTTGGCCCTCCTAAGAGACACTGCATAGCTGTCTGGCCCGCTCTCTCCAAAAGGTTGCTGACCTCTGGATTAAACGATAAACCAATGCGCCTTTTCATTGATTAAGAGGTAATATTTCTAGTTCCTGAATTTTCTTTGAGAACTGTTATCGATGAACTAAAGCTAATGATAGCAAAAAGAAAAAAAATTCTGAGTAAATTTAAAACTCACTTCTGTGATAACATAACATTGTCCAAACTTGGAATGTTTACAGTAACATAATATACACATACATACACACAGTCACACAAACTCGCATAGAATAGGCGAAAACTAACGGCCATATTCATGGAAGGTATCTTGCTAGCATTTATTTTGCAGATTATGAATTTTCTTTTGTTAATTTTTTCTACCTTTTGATTTGTCAACGGATTCATGAAAAGATTTTTCGGAAAATAGGTCGGATGCCGTTGTCCGATTGAGGGACCCGTGTGTTACACATGATTTCTCTTATTGGTCTTTTTTTTTGGTGGGGTTGTTCATGTCAGACCCTTTTTTTTTAATCAGTTTACCTCGAGTCAGTTAAAAGCACACCGTTTCTAACGATGATTTCTCCTGCTAAGGGGAACGCTGGTTTAAAAACCTTTTTGCCTAAATGCACAAAACACACACACACACACCACACACACACACACAAATATATATATATATATATATATATATATATATATAGTGGGGAAATAAGTATAAGACACCCGATGAAATCGTTAATAACTTTCTTATTACAGCACAAATTCCTCTGAAAATTTATATGTGGTACCTAGATCCGATAGTATTAATATACATATTCGATTTTATAACAACTTGCCACTAGAAAAATTATTACGAAAGTTATTAAGAAAAATACGTTTTCGAGGGTGGAAATAACTATAAGACAGTATTTAACAGCAAAATTGTAGAAAATTCAATATTTACATTTATTTTCTTTCAATTTTAATACTTTAACGCACCTGTTTTGCATTGAATCAATACGTTTTCAGAGATTTTCAGATGGAATTTCATTCCAATACTGTTTAATGCAAGATTTTAACGTTTCTCTATCTTCAAATTGACGTTTATTTTTTGTATACTCTTCCTGACAAAATTCCCCACAAATTTTCTATTGGGTTTAAATCTGGAGACTTAGTGGGCCAGTCCAAAACGTCAATATATTTTGTTTTAAGTCGGTCTTTCGTGAGCTTTGAAGTGTGTATGGCAACGTTGTCCTGTTGAAAAATAGTATTATTGGTGTCTAGACGATTAATATATGAGAAGAAAACACTTGTACGTACACAAGAAAAATGACATAAAAAGCTTAATCGCAGTACCTTGTCAATCGTCTTTAACAAAACATAAATATATATATATATATATATATATATATATATATATATATATATATATATATATATATATTATAAATTAATTGATTTAAAATATGTTTTTTCGCTACAGAGTTCTAACCATGTTTTAAAAATGGAAGCTGAAAGCTCCCAATTTAATTTTGTAATTAAATTAAAGACATTAGCTCCATTTCACCCACAAGCAAATTTTGAAGTAACTTTTAAAATTACTAGGTTTTAAAGACACAGCAAAAATATCCTTGGAAACGTGAATTATGATTTTTGTTTTGTCTTTAAAACACAGTAATTTTAAAAGTTACTCCAAAATATACTTTAATTAATAATAATAGTAGTAATAATAATAATAATATATATATATATATATATATATATATATATATATATATATATATATGTCAGTTGTGGTATGAGGAAAACTTACTGGCTGAGTTCTGTAAAGTTTAAATCCTTAATTAAGTAGAAAAACTTGAAATCGGTGACCGAGAATTTGACAAATTTTGATTTGCTAACGAGTAGCTTGCCATTTCGAAAATGTGGTGCCTTTGAAAGTAGCATTTTGTGGTATGGCGTCTGCGAATGAGGAAAAAAATAAGTACCCCAAAGTGAAATCAGAAAAAGAAAAAACTGACGGATTTCACTGAAATGCGGTCACTGACATTCACATATATGAAATTATATTTTTTGTAAACTTTTTTCATAGATCCTGAAAACACGAACGCACTTTCTGTGTGAATGTAAAAAAAAAAAAAAATTATTTCAACCCCAAGAGTAAAAAAAACACGATATAATCCACGAAGATGCAAGTGATTTATGAGAGTGAGGGAAACAGAACGAGCAATAAACGAACAGGGTTCCAGGAGACAGAAGATGACGATTTACGTTGCATTTAAGTTTTTGATGTTGACGCAAAAGTGGGAAGAGAGTTCATCAAGTGAAACGTGTGGTAGAAGAAATGCTTAGCATAGAACTTACGCTTACGACTAACAATTTTAAAATTGAAACTATGACGTCGCTATCAATCCAGTTCTGAAATCATGGGGCCCACATGCAAGTCAAATACTGCACAAGTATTCGTGAAAGCGAGGTACCAAAGAGGAAAGCTTATAAGTAAAACTACCGCGAAAATATTCATAGAAAAGCCACAGGAAACTACATTACAGCAGTGGCGTACTGAAAGTGACTGTTACCGAGATGCCAGGTCAGGACGGATAACGTTGCAGAGTCTCCTTTGGATTTTTTTTTTTAACGATCTTTTGAATATAGCAGAAGAACCAAACCAGATATGAGAGCAATATTTGATGCACGGACTAATAGTTGTCTAATAAATGGGCATGACTGTCTAGCATAACATAGTGAAGTGACTTGCCCAGAAGTCCAAACAATTACCGTAATTCCCCGTGTATAATACGCTTTTTTTTCTAAAAAATAATAAAGAAAATTAGGGATGCGTATTATCCAAAGCTACAAAAATCTTTTAAAAATTACCGTTTCATAGCCCGATTTCAATTGAGAAATGACTACTTGCACAGAAATTGCCTCATGATCAAGATCAATAAATTTCATAGAATTGATTTCTTTATTCCTTTTATTCTTTGTTAAATATTCTTCAGACCAACTGTTATTCTGTCTACTTGTTAAGCCCAACTCGAGATATGTATATCTAACTCGAACTACATAGAGATCCGGTAGATTGCACATTTTATCGAATAAAAACAGGTTAATGAGTCTGCGCAGTAAGCACAAAATAGGTATTTCCGTTACCTTTTAAAATTGAGATGATGGTAAATTTTGATAAATTTCTTCAATTACAGCTTGAATAAGAGTAGGAAACGCTGGCCGTAATAAAATTGAAGAAGTACAATTCATAGGGTTTGAGTACCAAACAAGGGGTGCGTATTATGCAGATGAGATGCATTTTCCCACAGTTTCAGCACAATTTTAGGGGTGCGTATTATGGATGAAAGCGTATTATACGAGGAGAATTATGGTATGTATTTATGTACGTATAAAAATATAGATTTATGATGTGCTATAATTATGGGTTAAAATACAATCATATATACCTAACGATACTTACAAACGTAAAATAAGAATTCTCATAAAACTAAATTAGAATAATAGTATTCTATGTTTAAAACCATTTTTTTAATAAGAGTAGGAAATGCTGACCGTAATGAAATTGGAGATGTAAAATTTATAGGGTTTGATTACCAAACAAGGGGTGCGTATTATGCGTGAGTAGAAGCATTTTTCCACACTTGCAGCACAATTTTAGGGGTGGGTATTATGGAGGAAGGTGTATTATACATGAGTAAATACGGTAAATCGATTATTTTCTTCGACTATTTTGGGGGGTTTTCTTTCCTTTTGATCCTTATTTTTATTTAATTTATTTTTTCCCTGAATTTATTTATTTTATTTTGTTTCTTTTTTGTTCATTTTGTTTCATTTTATGTTGGTTATTATTTTTCCTTTCTCTATATATTTCTTTATTTCATTGTATATTTAGTCATTCATTTCTTTCTTTCTTTCGTTTTCTTTCTTTCGTTTTTCCTTTCTTTCTTTTTTCTTTTGCTCTTTTTGTCTTTCTGTATTTCTTTCTTCCTTTCTTTCATTATTTATTCATTTCTTTCTTCCTTTCTGTCCTACTTTATTTGTTTTTCTTCCTTCCTTTTTCCTTTCTTTCTTTATTTCATTCTTTACTCCATTATTTCTTTCTTACTTTCTTTCTTACTTTCATTCTTTTTTCTTTTTCTTTTTTAATTATTTCTTCCTGTATTTATCTATTTTTTTTCTTTCTTTCTTTCTTTATTATTTATTTATTTATCCCTTTCTATATTCATTTATTTATTTGCTTATGCTTTTTTTTTCTTTCTTTCTTTCATTATTTATTTATTTATTCCTTTCGTTCTTTCTTTCATGTTTATTTGTTTACTTCTTTCTTTCTTTTTTCTTTATTTTGTTATTTTCTTCATTTGTTTATTTGTTTTTTATTTATTTATTCCTTTCTTTCTTCGTTTCTTTCTTTATTCCTTTCTTTCTTCCTTTCATTCATTTTTCTTTCTTTTTTCTTTCTTTCTTTCTTTCTTTCTTTCTTCTTTCTTTCCTTTATTTCTTTATTTTCTTGAGATTTATTTATTTTTTCCGCTATTGTTTCCGTTTAGTTTTACGCCCTTTTTTTTCATATCTATCATAATTTTTTCCAATTTATATTTTTCCATAGATTCTTTATTTCCTCCCCCCATCACCACTGTGATTTTGTACTTTTTCTCTTTCTATTCGCTTCTCTTTTGGTTTCCTTTCTCCGTCCCACCCCGCCACCGTCACCACCAGAGAAAAAAAAACAATTGAATCGTTGTCTCCTCCACTTCGTTCTTTCTTAAGTGTCATTGTCGACGTTTTACACATTTTCCGCCATCCTGCCCCGCTCGCTACCACTGAGTTGCCGAAAAAGTAGAAAAAGATAAGAGCGATGAAAATCAGAAAACGCGATAAATTAATTAAGAAATAATAAAAATCACTGAAAGCAAATTGAAGAAGGAAAAACAAAAAGACTGGTTTCGGAGATAAAAAGGAATTATAGGTTTTTATGTATAATTCCCCATTTGTTAAGAGGAAAATATATACGATTTGCTTAGAGGTCGAGATTAGAAATTCTACAAAAATAAAAAGAATTCATGTAAAAACAAAACAAGGAAATTATTTTCTGGAGAAAGAAAGAAAGAAAGAAAGAAAGAAAGAAAGAAAGAAAGAAAGAAAGAAAGAAAAAAGAAAAAAAATTTGCAAAGAAAGAAAGAAAAAGAAAAAGAAAGAAAAAAGTAAAAAAGGATTTGCAAAGAAAGAAAGAAAGAAAGAAAGAAAGAAAGAAAAAGAATGAAAAAGATTTGCAAAGAAAGAAAGAAAAAAGAAAAAGAAAGAAAAAAGAAAGAAAATGATTTTTAAAGAAAGAAAGAAAGAAAGAAAGGCAGACAGACAGAAAGGAAAAAAATTCAGAAAGAAAAAAGCAAGAATGAAAAAGATATGCAACGAAAGAAAGAAAAAGAAAAAGAAAGACAAAAGAAAGAAAAGGATTTGCAAAGAAAGAAAGAAAGAAAGAAAGAAAGAAAGAAAGAAAGAAAGAAAGAAAGAAAGAAAAAGATTCAATAAGAAAAAGATTCAGAAAGAAAAAGATTTGCAAAGAAAGAAAGAAAAAAGAAAAAGAAAGAAAAAATACTTTTAAAGGAAGAAAGAAAGAAAGACAGAAGGAAAAAAGCAAGAATGAAAAAGATATGCAACGAAAGAAAGAAAGAAAGAAAAAGATTTAAAAAGAAAAAAGAAAGAAAGAAAAAGATTTGCAAAGAAAGAAAGACAGTAAGGATAAAAAACAATGCAAAGAAAGAAAGAAAGAAAGAAAGAAAGAAAGAAAGAGAAAGAAAAACCATGCAAAGATAGAAAAAGAAAGAAAGAAGGAAATAAATAAAGAAAGAAAAACATTCACAAAGAAGAAGAAAGAAAGAAAAATTTTGCAAAGAAAGAAAGAAAGAATTAAAAAGAAAATGAAAAGAGCCCAGAGTAGTAAAAGTGACAGAGAAAAAAGAAAGAAAGAAAAGATTTGAGGAAAAAGGAAAATGAATGAAAGGGAATGATTAATTAGAATAAAAAAGTGAATTAACCAAAAGATGATTAGCAAAAAAATAAATGCAGTTTTAATAAAATTTACAAAAGAAATAGAAAATGCAACAAATACCAGAGTATGAATTACTATTGAGTAGATTCAGAATGAATGAAAAAATGTTTTTATTCTACATAGTTAACCAAAACGTCATTCGGAAACGAAAAAAAGTAATAATAAAAAAAGAAAAGAAAAGGAAGGAAAGAGAAAAAAAAGATAAAAGAGGAAAAGCAAATAATATACACAACAAAAAAGGCAGAAAAAGAACAAGTAAATGATACAATGAAAGAAGAAAAAAAGAAACAAAATTCAAAATTGGAAATAAAAAAAAGAATTCGTGGGAATAATGTCTAAAATAAACTTTCCACTTATCAACACACTCGTAGTTTCGTTCACTTATCAAATGACAAGAGAGAATGGTTTTCTATTTTCTTTTCTTTTTTTTTTTTTCTTTTTACGGCCGCCAAGATACAAGGATTCCCGTTACCTTTTTCGGCGGCACACTGTCTGGGATTTTCGACACACAAAACAGGAACGCTCACGAAATACCAGACTAAAGCAATGGGTGTTTTTTCCAGTTTCGAATTGGTCTTGGAAATTCCTTAATAGAGACATACTTAGGAATTACGATCCTACACACCTGCTGGGCCGGTGCAAGAGTCACGTGTTTCCTGAATCTGTGATAATCCACGTTCTAGGACATCTCAATTTACATAAGTTAGTATTAATATAAAATCCAAATATTATTGTAATCTAATTATGTACAACGATGGATCATATGCAAGATAGGTGAACATTCAACAAGAAAAACTGAAAATAAATTTGGTGTATCTAAATACAAATTAGAGACATGTCATCATAGATCATTCCATCTTAAATAAATAAAAAAAATGTTTTACTGCAATTTTTAACATCAACTTGAGATTTTTCTTGTTGAAAACTTGAATAACATTATTAACACATTCAATATCATGAATCAGTGAATTTTATATAGTATTTTTGCGAGACTTAGCATGAGCAAAAAAAATGACAGCGGGAAATGCCATGAAACTATTTTTGACCTTAGGTCTCTGTTTGGGACACGGAAGGAAATGTGTATAAAACAGAAATCCAAAGAAATATTATTATTATTATTATTATTATTATTATTATTAGTAGTAGTAGTAGTAGTAGTAGTAGTAGGAGGAGGAGGAGGAGGAGTAATTATAATAATAATAACAGTAATAGTAATAATAATGTGTCACTTTAATACCATGAAGTAGATTTAGCAGAGTAATTTCATTTTAATTAAACTTTTGAAAACCGAGAGCTTTGCTGATGTTGCTAAGCGCGTATTCACGTAAACGCTAATTGTGAAGTCCGACAGTAAATCTGCGAATTTAGAAACACAACATTGTATTAGGGGAAAAAAACGGTGTTATAGAAAAAAATAATCAAAATCTTCAAATAAGGCTATTCAAATTTTCGGACAAATTTATTCGTGCGTGTTCTTAATTTATACATAGCTAAGTCTAATTAATATCAATAAACAGAGCCTACGCAAGGGTTGCGTGCGCATCCGAATCTATGATACACCACCCAAAATTTATGAGACGGCCCTTTTTTATTATCGGAGGCCACAAACCCAAAGACTATAACTTGTGCTGGACGCTTCGTTCTGAAAGTGCCTTTGACATGAGTTTTTGAGTGTGCATTGTATCTGCCATTCCTACGATTCAGAGCAATGTCAGCAGTAAAGATCTTTTTGTCTGAGAAAATTTTCACAATGGACTTGTTTCTTTTAAGATAAGTAAGAAGTTTTTTGCATCTTTCCAATCTTCTGGCCTTTATGGGCCGTGTCAGCAAATGTCTTCGTGTCTTGTGTAAGATTTTAGTTTTAAGTCATCATTCGCTGCTGTTCTGGTAGTCTTAAGTTCAGTCTTTTTTTTTTTTGTGGATTTCCATGGGTCTTTTGAGATTTTGGATTTGAGTGTTGACAAAATCATTATTGCGCTTTTTGTTCATTCCGCCACTTCCAGGCTTTCTCTGAATAATTTCCCCAATAGACATTCTCTTCTTCACATTAAAAACTGTCCGTAGGGATAATCCAACTATGCTTCTGTGGATAATCATGTGCATTTATCATATCACACACCCTTTGATGTTTACTTTCCTCAATACTTATCTTTTTCTCAATTATCTGAAAAAAAAATGTGGGTAATTAATATGCAAGGTTATGATAATAAAATGCACCATGTTTCATAAAATTAGATGAACTGCTTCATGAGAAGAACAAGTAAGACTTTTAGTGAAGATGTTGCCTCCTCGACCTGTACAAAAAAAGGGAGCATATATTAAACGGATATTTATTGAAATTTCCCCTTGTGAGGAAGCAAATGAAATAACCCCGAATCCATATGTTCCGCTGACCACTCGTAAGTCTGTCTGCTGTTGTGGGTAGATTTAGTTTAGTTTTTCCTTCCGCTTGTGCTGTTAGGCGTCGCGGGGAGACACAGCGCCAAGGCGAATGGCCGGGAGGAGAGATATGTCGTGGACTCTGAGAGTGTCTGCCACTGAGTCGCTCCAGCGAATACTTGGTCTACCTCTCGCTCTCCAGCCATAGTACCTGAGTAGCTGTGGGTAGCTATGCCAGCTAATTCACCAGGTTTCATAAAATTAGTTGACCTGCTTCATGAGAAAAACAAGTAAACCTTTTAGTACAAATTTTGCCTCCTCGACCTGTACAAAAGAAGGGAGCATATATTAAACGGATATTGTCTGAAATTCCCCCTTGTGAGGAAGCAAATAAAATAGTGGGTAGCTATGCTAGCTAATCCCTGTTGTAGACGACTCTTCATACACATTTGTGTCTGTTCAGCACCCACAGAATCAGCCTATCAGTTTATACACCAACTTCACTGAGCAGACCTTTGTTACAGTTTCTGGAAGGGAGCGTATAATCTAGCATGAGGAACAAATTGGAACAAGCCTACTATTCTCAAACACTCAGTCACGATGACTTGTAACTTCGTGGTCGCGCAACCATCATATTCTTCCAATCTTCCGTCTTACCAAATTTGAGTCACGTTTTATGGTTTTCAGGCTCTTCCCAACACTTGGATCATCTGCCCTTGTTGATATTACCTCCTAAACAAATCGACCATGGTGAGATTTAAATCGAGGTTTCGCTCTGGGAATACTAAGGTTCCAAGTACAGAGTCACGCTCCTACGAATGTATATACACTTATATATATTAAGAAATGGACAAAGTCCGACAATTTATTTATTAAAGACATTTTTATGTTTAACGTTCTTTTTTATAGATACAAGTATTTAAGTAAATGCTCTGTTTATAATAAACAGTATTAAATAACATTTACCGGCCTGAATGTCCGAGAAATTTTCATAGAAAATATTCGTCCTTTGACAGGATTCGAACCTGCATCCTATAAGAATCCGTCATTTACGCTGACGTGCCTTACCAATCGGCCACAAAGGAGCGTTCGGTAGACAAGGTCGAATTTACTGCTTATAAACTTCAATCTTCCATGAATCTCGTACATTCATAACTGCTCTGGCGTATCAAATGTAAACAAATGACGCCAGATGTTCGACAAACAGGCACCCATTATCCTGTTTCAGAACTTGCTCTATGTCAAATAGGAATACAAGTTTCACGGATATACACTTCTTTATACTGACCACCACATTTTGACGGTCACGATATCTTCAGAGTCAAAGGTAGTGATGAAATTATCTGTGCAATCAATTGTTTCTCTGTAAGATCGTTACGTACTTGTATTTTGGTTCAAAGTATATTATCTATCGGATTCATAGAATTAATGTTATGTTGTAGAACCATAGAAAGGTAACACGAACTCGGATATAAGGTTAAATAGTATAATCTCGGAAACGTAGTACAAACGGTAAATGTAGACTGAATAGTACTTTCTCTCACTGGTGATCTGACTCAGTGACTCTCACTCGGTCTTTTTCTACTCAGAGTTGGCAGCCATATTATATAGGTGTGGAAGAGTCCATTTGTAGGTAGGTCCCACAACAATTTGTTACGCTTTCTGACAGTGAAAGCTAAACCTCTGTGCAGATTAATTAAAACAACCGCTTCAGTTTCCTTTCTTTCACCATACGGTCAATTTTAGACCCACTGGAGTGACAGTGTGTAAACGATTTCTATTTTTTCCTCAAATTAGGTCATTTGCAGTGGTGTGCAGTAATATGAATCTATTTTTGAGGTGAATTATGAAATTTATTTTGGCCTTTGTATAAATATTGCGTTATCCATGAACGCATCAGATTTCCATCTCGCCCAGACGCCATTGTCTCGACTGTCGATTAGTTGTCCTACCGTCATTGTCTGCGATGGACGTTACTCCAAGGAAGCGTACGAAGATTGTGACGCTGCACGAACACAATGGCAAGCCTTACCAGTGAGAAAACCAAAGCACTATATACTGGGTCCGGAAATTCTCCTGATTTAAATCCAGTTGAAAATCTGTGGTCAATCTGCAAGCAACGACTTCATGGAATGGACATACAAAGTACTAACATGTGCACTGGGTCATGTTTCACTGCAAAAATACAAAAGAAAAGTAAATATTAAGTGAATTATTCGTTTTTTTTTTCAATTAATTTGCAAAAGGGTGTATATTATATTTTTAAGCGGGAATGATTTGCGGAAAGTTTGGAAGAGCAGACGGAAGGAGGAAAAAGGGTGAGAAGGAGAAAATGTAGAAAAAAAGTAAGAAAGCTTGATATCAAAGTATATTATCTGTCCAATTCCTGGCCTTTCTGTGATGGAATTAATTACGCTTTCTGACCGGAAAAGTTATAATTGTAAGCGGGAACGAACTGAAAAAAGTATGGGAGACGATGCGGAGGAAGAAAAGAGGGTGGGAAGGTGAAAATATAGGAGAAAAATAAAGCTAAATATCAGAGTGTAGTATCTGTTTGATTCCTGGCGTTTTTTATGTTGTGATTAGTTACGCCTTTTGTTCGAGGAACGTATATTGATAATATTTAACAGGAATGAATTGGAAAAGAGAAGACGTGGAGGAGGCGGTAGAAGAAAGATGTTTTTGAATGTTTTTTTTTTTAATTTTATGTTTCATTGGCTTGTTTCGTGCGATCGGTGTGTATGGTGAAGTTCAAGAACACAGTGTTATTGTCACCAGATCATTTTATATGTTTTTATTATTTATTTATTTTCATGTATTTATTTATTTCCGTCCTTACCTTATTCTCTGCTAGATACGCTCCTTAACCAAGTCTGGGGTAAAGGAAGTTTTTTTTTTTTCTTATAAAGTTATTGAGTGGATTATACAGAGATAATTATCCTTAGGATGTGAGCGGTCTCATGAGCACATGCTTTTGTGAGGGTTTTCTTGGGATTTTCTTAATGTAATGGTTCTTAGCGGGGGTGGGGGGTTGCACCCCCTAGGGGTACCATATCGATTCCTAAAGGTTGCGAGCATATTGAATCAGTAGGGTTGATTTATTAAGGGAACTAGTGTAGCGTTACATTGTAGTTTACATTGTAGAAATGTTACCAACTGCTGCCATCGTAATAACTTAAATGTATACCCAGGAAAAAAAAAACGAGCGGAAATTGCTGTTAAAACGGCGGTAAAATTGGTAACACTGCAGTGTGAAGTTTGTTTAGATACAGAGTGGAACGACCGCTCAAACATTGTTGAGACGTATTTGCTCAAATGTGATGTTTAAATGTTTTAATGTTTAAGATTATCATGCGAGGCACCGTTAAAGGTGGACGTAGAAGACGCCGAATCAAGAACTGGTTGGACAATGTCAAACAATGGAAAGATATGACTTTACCAAAATTATTGATGGCTGCCGTTGATAGACCGTCGTGGAAAAGTGTTTGTATTTGTGTCTCTTAGCATTTGCTATCTTTAAATTTTCGAAATCTTCTCTTTACTTTTGAATAACCCTGTTTTCTGCTACATATCTACATATCGAGTTACTTTATTCTGTATCTTAATATATATATATATATATATATATATATATATATATATATATATATATATATTATAAGTTAATTGATTTAAAATATGATTTTTTTTTCGCTACACAGGTCTAACCATGTTTCAAAAATGGAAGCTAAAAGCCCCGAATTTAATTTTGTAATTAAATTAAAGACATTAGTTCCATTTTATCCTCAAGCGAATATATATATATATATATATATATATATATATATATATATATATATATATATATATATTTAGAGTTAATTGAGTTCGTGTCAGAAATAGAAATTTAACTGTGAAAGCTAAAAAATAAAACAGTCGAAAAACTAATACAGTATTTATCTATTTCAATGTTTCACTCAGACGAAAGGCACGAGACAGTAGAGGGGGAAGATGGTAAGTATTTGTCTTAAAGTGAAGAATTTTATAAAATTAAACCCGAATATTAAGGTTATGACATTAATTTGGGATTATATGAAGAATGAAATATTAATTTAAAATTAAAAGAGAAATATAACGGGGTTTAAAATAACTTTAACACATATAGATAAAAGGGTGTAGAGAGTTGTAGAGATGTTAAGGTAGGCGAAGTTTATAAATTATAATTAATATAGGTAAAACGGTCATAGGAAGGGTGAATATAAAAATTAGAATTAGTTATACATTCGACATTTGAAGAGTTAGAGATGAGTGAATATTATGGAAATATAGTAGCTAATTAAGTTAAACCTATATTATGAAAAATTGAATTTGTTTTTATGTCGACATTTTAACACTAATTCATTCCTCTGATTTAATAGTTGGCTTTGATTATTGTATTTTCTTATTCTAATTTTTTCTTCTAAACATAAGTTACACTTATGTCTAAGATTATTATGACTACGTACGGAACCTATGATCTTCCTAATTATCTGTGGGTTCAAAACTTTCTCCTTCAATTCCAAAAAATTCTTTAAAAGTGCTGTCTGGTGTTTTAGTTTAGGGATAGAAAATGTGTGCCTCTAGGTATAAAATCTCTGTTTGCATTCCCCCTTTGAAATTCAAATATCATATATATATATATATATATATATATATATATATATATATATATATATATATGTGTGTGTGTGTGTGTGTGTGTGTGTGTGTGTGTGTGTGTAATGCGTAGGTCCCGTTAAATAATTTAGACATGTTCTGTCTGCTTATTCTCAATAGGATCCTTTCATATCCGCGGATAAGCTTTTTCGTGTTGACTGATATTGTATTTATTTCGATTTTTCGACATAGCAAAATATATCATCATCAGAACTATAAATATAAATATATATATATATATATATATATATATATATATTCTCAGTGTATTGTTAACTATAATAATATATATATATATATATATATATATATATATATATATATATATATATATATATATATATATATATATAACAATACACTGATGATGACAATATTCTATATATATACATATTATATATATATATATAACAATAACCTGGTGATGACACACACACACACACACACATATATATATATATATATATATATATATATATATTATATATATATATATATAACTCCAATACTTCAATTATCCAAATTAAAACCACCTTGATTTCTTTCCTAATTATTTTACACACACACACACACACACACACACACATATATATATATATATATATATAAAATCCTTGTTTTTTCTGTATGTTGTTATATATATATATATATATATATATATATACATATTATATATAATAGGACATGTATTTATATTATATTTATTAAAAAAAATCCGGCCTGGTGATCATTGTTTTGCGCGCGAACACACACACACACACATTTTATACTGACTGCCTGATATATATCATATATATATATATATATATTTATAATTATTTAACCTACTATTTGTTTATTTCCTCCAAGGCTAACCTCGCTAATAATTGCTCCACACCTAAGTAAAAATATGATTCCAACTTTGTTTAGATCCTGTTCTCACGGTCTCAGTCAGTACATAACCGAGTTCTTCATGTTTCAAAACAAAAGAAACTCAAAATCGTCCTAGCTGAAAACCTCCAATTTTTCAATTACAAAATGGTCAAATTAAAAAATCCACTAAAACGGAAACTTCAGAGTTTCACATTGTTCGGACTGTTTAAAATAAAAAAAAAATTACCTAACGATTTTCTTTTTTCCTAATTTCTATTTTTATCAATCACACAACTCAAACTCTTTGGATCAAGTCACTGATCATATATATATATATATATAACATTTTTTTTTTTTTTACAGAGCTCATATTGCATTTTTTTTTTGTTTTTCTGTTTCATCTAGCATTCCGTAATATATATATATATATATATATATATATATATATATATATCTCACGGTTAAACATCCATAAAAGTTGTAACAGATATCAGAGAGGTAAGTAACAAAAGAAACATTTTAAATTGGGACCACTTGAAAATTTGTTTTACAGATGTCTCAAAAACATCTTTTATCAAGTAAACATTTATATTACAATGCATTTTTGAGTAAGTGGTGATTTTTGATTTTGTTTAGTGGCATATCAACCCCTATGAGTTAATTAATGCCGAATTCTAAATACTTGAACATAACGGCCTTCAACTAAATGTCCGACTGTTGGCTAAAATATATTGTTTTTGCTATAAAATGTGCGCGCGAACGCATGTAACGGTCATTTTGGCGGTCGGTAATTTACTATAAAATGTATTGTTTCATTTTGTGAAAATATGAGCATTTATATTGATAAAATGTATTGCCTGAAAATATATTGTGTCCATCAAATATATTGCGATAAAATAAAATATATTGTTGGTTGGTTTGTATGTTTTATTTAATGCGAACATAAATATTTCAACTAAATCCAACTTTGGTAACGTTTTGCTTTTTTTTAGATTTTTTTAATAGATAAAATTTATTGCTGGCATTTTTACTATAAAAATGTATTTTTTTACTCATCGCTTTTGTTAGGAGCAACCAGATACTATTTGTTTATTTCCTCCAGAGGCATCAATGGATGTTCTTTTTTGGGGTTTTTTTTCCTAAGTGAATATGACGAACCTGATTGGGGAGCCGGTTAACAGATTACCTATTTCATGACGTTATCCATGACACCAACTTCGCATCCAAGCTTACAGCACCGGGTATACTCAAACGATCACGTGTCTAGGTATTGCTCATGCTTGAAGATCGGTGATCATACGGGAACCGCAGTTTCGACGTGATGTGGCCGTAAGCCGATATACAGTTATGAAATGAGGTTCTCACGTGGACGTAAGTGGGTAGCAAGAGCAGATTATGCGGATACGTACGATAGGTACGATAGGCTGACGTTAAACTTGAAAAGGTTAATATTGTATTTTTCAAGGAAACAATCCCTCGGGTGTCTGTCCGATAAAGTAGCAGCTTTTAGAAAGAAGCTTCCCGAACAGTACTTCCATCTTATCAATGGAATAGGAAGGGAATAAAGATGTTCGCCTTTGTGTATATGTAAGGCGTTGCTTAGTTGTAAATGTTTGGTTCAATTAGGGATTGTCAGAACATTTTCCATGGATTGCGAAAAATGATTTTAACTTTATCTTGCTATCTTTGTGGAAAACAAACTGTATCATCCATTTAGAATATGAATAATACAGATATTGAAATAATACAAAGTAGAAAGACCCGTGAAAAAGTCACGGTTTTTCTATTAAAATTATCTGATAGATCTTATTTTTTTACTCTTCAGTTAATGATTAGATAAGCTCGAGGCAAGTTCTACGACAATAAAATATCCGTAGTAATTTCCCATCACATCGTTAGATATTTGAGCTTAACAACTTTAAAAAAATATTGCAAAAACAATCACAAATATGAATGCGGATTGTTATTTTAAGAAGTGGGTAGACATAAAAAGATTTTAAATTGACAACTTTCTTTATTTGACTGAAACAGCCGTTAAACAAGGGGAAGAGGCAACGCAACACTGCCGACTCAACACAGACAACTGTGCCCTGGGACAACTCAAGACCGAGACAACTCAGCACCAGAAAAACGTAACTTTTTTTTTAATAACCGAATAAAAGTAATTTATTAAGGATTACAACCTAATTCGTGAATATTAGTCTTCAAATAAGGCATTTGAAAAGGTATTATTTAAAATAAAGGGTTCAGTTCGAAATTCTAATCACCTGAAGAAGGCCGGAGCGTCGTGAATATGGTAATAAAGATGAGGACAACAGTCCGAACAATGCAAATAATAGATGGATATATATATATATATATATATATATATATATATATATATATATATATATATATATATATATTACAATCGAGAATGTAGAATAAAGAGTGTTTTTTTTATTCTAGATTCAACACCATCACTTGATAAGACACCAAAAGTGTTGAAACAAGATGACTATTTTTGTAGTGATTTCATAAAATATTTATGTTATAATTTTTAAATAAATTATACACACACCCACCCACCCACATATATGTATGTGTGTGTGTTTTATACACACACACACACACATATATATATACACACACACACACACACACATATAGATATAACCGGTTTATTGTTTAATTAAAAATGTAATCTCGATTTTAAATATAATTTTAAGTGTGTGTGTGTGGCTGGGTGTGCATGTATGTATTTTAGAACGTGTGCACGAATACCTTCTAAGAACATTATAGAACTGCATATTGTTCACAACAATATCAGAGATAACAGTAGAAGTTTTAGTGAATATGGTTAAAAAAAATCCTACCTGAGATAGCACAGTTTACATCATCGGATTGTTTTTAAATGAATGAATCTTTTATTTTTCCCTTTTACTAGTGTCGTCAAAAAACACCTGAAAAAAGTGCGGTTAGAAATACCTGATGCACCTCATCATCGCTTCTTCATTCAGCAAAATATTCTCAATTTTTTTTTTTTTTGTTGTTTATTATCCTTCTTTTTCAATCAATCATTTTCTTTTTCTTCTTTCTTTTTCCTTTTTTTTCTTTCTATCTTTATCCTTTTTCTTTCTTTTTCTTCATTTTTGTTCAATTTTTTCTTTTTGTTTAACTACTTCACTGTCTTTATTCCTTTTCTTTGTGTTTCTTTCTTTCTTTCTGTCCTTCTTTCTTTCTTTCTTCCTTTCTTTCTTTTCTTTCCTTCTTTCTTTCATTCTTTTGTACTTCATTTATCTTCTTTATTTCTGTCTTTACTTCCTCCTTTTTTTCCTTATCCTTTTTTCTTTTCTATTGCATACTTTTTCTTTTCTACTTCTGTTTCATTTTTTATTTATTCATTTTTACTTTTTTTGTTTTTGTTTTCTTTTATTTTAATTCATTTGCTGCTTTTTATCTTCATTTCTTTCTTTTCTTCTTTCTAATTCCAGTACTTTCTTCTTATTTCTTCCTTCCTTTTTCCCATTCTTCTTTCTTACATTTTATGTAAGTCTTTTCCTTCCTTCTTTCTTTCCTTCCTTCCTTCATTCATTCCTTCCTTCCTTCCTTTCTTTCTTTCTTTCTTTCTTTCATTCTTTCTTTCTGTTCTTTATAAGTCACTTGCTTTTTATTTTCTTCTTTCTTTCTTCCTTCTATCTGACAATTTTGCTTTTATTCGTCTTGCTTTGTTTTCTTTTTCGTTTTCTTTGTTTCGCTTCTTTCTTTTGTTCGCTTCTCTAATTCTTTTGCTTTCTTTCTTTTTTGTCTATTTGTTTTCTTCTTTCTAATTTTCTTTCTATTTTTTTAGTTCCTTCTATACTCCATTCCTTCTGACATTTTATTTAATTCTTCCTTTTTTCTTTCTTTTTTCTTTCTTTCTTTCTTTCTTTCTTTATTTCGTTCTTTTCTTTTTTAATTTCGCTATTAATTTGTTTTACTTTTTTGTTTCTCCTTTCTTTCTTTTTGTTTCTTTCTTTTTTCTTTCTTTCTAATTCGGTTATTTACTTCTTTCATTCTTTCTTTCTTTCTTTCTTTCTTTCTTCTTTCTTTCTTTCTTTCTTTCTAATTCGGTTATTTACTTGTTTTAATTTTTCTTTCCACTTTCTGTCAATCTTTTTACATTTTTCTTTCTTTCTTTCTTCCTTCCTTTCTTTCTTTCTTTCTCCTTTCTTTCTTCTTTCTTTCTAATTCGCTTATTTACTTGTTTTACTTCTTTCTTTCCTCTTTCTGTCAATCTTTCTTTCTTTCTTTCTCTCTTTTTTCTTTCTTTCTTTCTTTCTTTCTTCCTTTCTTTCTTTCTTTCTTTCTTTCTCCTTTCTTTCTTCTTTCTTTCTTTCTTTCTAATTCGGTTATTTACTTGTTTTACTTCTTTCTTTCCACTTTCTGTCAATCTTTCTTTCTTTCTTTCTTTCTTTCTTTCTTTCTTTCTTTCTTTTTTCTTTCTTTCTTTCTTTCTTTAAACTAAAATTTAGTTATTTACTTCCCTTTAATTCTTTCTTTCATCTTTTTCATTCTATTTCCTTCCACTTTTCTTTATGTTAATTCATTTCTGTATATTTCTTCTCCATTTCTCTTCCTTTTTACTGCCGCCGATTCTTCCTTTCTTCTTGCTTTTTATTTAATTATTTTTCTTTCATTCTTTCCTTTCTTTTCTTTTCTTTTCTTTCTTTCTTTTTTTCTTTCTGTTTGCTTATGCTTCTTTGTTTATTTCTTTAAAAATAATGAATGTGGAGGGAGGTACAGGTATATTTGATTAAATAAAACGTCAATCCATAATCGAGGTTCAACGGGAGGGACGAAATGGTGAGAGAGTTCCACTCACTTAAGAGACAAATTATTTAAATTGTTGACACTGACATAAGATGTCAGTTTGACAAGGAGATAAGACACTCCCACTAAATTAGTGTAACCTAACCACTGGCATGTCACCTGGCAGTAAAGGGGATTTACAACAGGTTGGCCTGGATTGCCTTTTACATTGCAGACAATATCTATCTATCTATCTATCTATCTATCTATCTATCTATCTATCTATCTATCTATCTATCTCATTCCGTTCATATCTATCTATCTATCTATCTATCTATCTATCTATCTATCTATCTATCTATCTATCTATCTATCTATCTCATTCCGTTTCTATCTATCTATCTATCTATCTATCTATCTATCTCATTCCGTTCATATCTATCTATCTATCTATCTATCTATCTATCTATCTATCTATCTATCTATCTATCGGTGACGGTTAACATTTGCATTTTTCTATATCTGTGATTTTACATATATCTCTTTCTTTCTTTCTCTCTAGTAGGCAAGACTAGAGTCAGGCCAATACTTGGATATTTTTATTAAAGTACTCAATACCCTATTCAGAAAAATTGAATATGTAATATAAGATTAGGAAATGCACCTGTAACGCACTACCCGGGTTTCGACCTTACGGTATAGTCAGGTCATCCTCAAGTAACTGTCTTGACGTGACTGTAAGGTCGAAACCAGGTATTAATTTGCGCGTGGATTTTTCTAATCTTATATATATATATATATATATATATATATATATATATATATATATATATATATATATATATACATACATACATACATACATATATATATATATATATATATATATATATATATATATATATACTTTTCATTTTAGTGGATTCCCATATTTAAATAGAGGTATCGCTCTTCGCGAATTTCAGGCCATTTGACGAAATAAAATATTATTTAAAATAAACAGAGATATGCTTCTCAGATTTGCTTATCCGCTAGAAATCGCATTTAAAGTAATAAATTATTTCGGATTAATATCAATATATGTACATATATCAGTTTGTTCATAATCTATCTTGCTAGATTTATAATCTATTCTCATTGTATTTTATATATACATACATATATATATATATATATATATATATATATATATATATATATATGTATACATATATAAAAGTGAACATAAAATCAACACTTAGAGGCGACAGTCTGTTTCATACTAGACGCAATCGTCAGGCCTGACGATTGCGTCTTGCATGAAACAGCCTGTCGCCTCTAAGTTTTGACTTTTATGTTCACTTTTATATTTACACACGCTCTATCTCTGATATTGAGCACTTTATCCCACAATTATACCACATCTTAACACTATATTTCTTCATATATATATATATATATATATATATATATAGTTATGATATTTTCGTAACCCTGTGTCTTTGTCATAAATCGATGTACTTTTGTTCAAAAGTAATGAAAGCGCATTAATTTGTAGTTCTTAAAAAACTCACCACAGTCCGAAAATTTGATTTTGCCACATACGTAATAATGGTAAAAACTAAAAATATTTTAGAAAATTTATCTTTCAGTTCCCTAATGATATACCGTATTTGATGGTATATAAGACGCACGGATGTATATAACGCACCCTAATTTCAACAGGGAAAATCAAGAAAAAATTAGTAAGTCGTAAAATTATTAGTAAATGGTACAGCCTAGGCTATATTTATGAGGTATTATTTTGGTTAAAGAAGCCATGATTACAATTAAACGAAAAATAATAGGAAAAAAAAGTACATGAGCCTATAAAAACTTTATTATAACAAAAGGTCAGAAAACAAAATAAAAATCAATCAATTATTAGAATTTATCAAAACAGTACAGTTACCATTAAAATTTTATTCATCTTCAAATCCATAAAATTCGTTGTCTTTTTTTATCAAAATTCTGATACTTATTTTCAGTACTACTAAGTGTGTGTCACGCATGGCACATAACTGACTGATCCGTTAAGAAAAAAAAAACCTTTATTAAATGAATTACAAAAATTTTTATCAAGCTGGAATAAAAATATTAATTAACAATTAAAAATTAAGATGTGTAAGTAATCTGTATCTTTGTTTTACATGGTTGCAAGTGCAAATAAGTTTTGTGTACTTGTAAAAATCAAAATGACAAGTGTTCCTTTTTTGGTAAGTTGTGCATACTGCAGTCAAGCAATACAAGTCATTGTGTATGTAAAAGTCTTCAGTTAGAGACTCAAAGTTGGCTCCCTGTGCCGCGCCAGGAAATTTTTCTCCCCGGAATCGATACTTCAAATATATAAATCAACCATTCCCCCTTGCGTGGAGTATTGCTGCCATATATGGTCTGGTGCACCTTCTGTTTACCCTGGAGTTCTTGACAAGATCCAGAGGCGGATATGTAATATAATTGGCCCTGATCTGGCATCTCGTCTACAGTTGCTCTCTCACAGACGCGCCATCGCCTCTCTCTGTCTTTTTTACAAATAGTTTCATGGTAATTGCTCCGATGAGCTGCTTTCACTGGTTCCCAAACTCCATGAATTCAAGCGCCCTACGAGGCTGGCATCTCGCTCTCACCCTTTCACTGTAGAAACTATTAAATGTAGCCGTATCTTCTACTCCAATAGCTTCATATCTTGCACCTCTCACCTGTGGAACACCCTTCCTTATTAATGTTTCCCTGAGAGCTATAATCTCTAACTATTCAAATGTAATGTCAATCGACATCTCCAATCACCTTGATCTACCCACTATCCTTCTCCTCATCCTTTCTTCTATCACTCCTATCTGCTCTCACTCTAAATCTTCTGCAACCCCCTGCATCCTAGTGGCTTCCCACCTTGCTCGGTGCGTAATGCTTAAAAAAAAATATGCAAAAATCAAAACAACTTCCTGAATCTTTAAAAACTCGTATAGTTGAAGCCTATAATGATGGAGAAAGCTACAAAAAGCTATCAAAACGATTTGGAGTTCACTTCTCTACCGTACATCAAATTATTTATAAATGGAAGGCCATTAGTATGACGACATTACAATCAAGAAATGGTCGTCTGCGAAAAATAACAGCAAGATCAAGTAGACATCTAGTTCGGCAAGCCGAGGCAAATCCAGCTACGATCTTTGTAGTTCTTCAATGCTCACTGGCAAATGTCGGAGTCAATGTACAGACATTTACAGTGCGACGAAATCTGAATGATGCCGATCTTCGGAATAACACAAACATGCTCACCTCAACTATGTCAAAGCTCATATTAATAAGCTAGAAACATTCTTATTGTCGGATTTTATTGTCTAAACTAGAGCTATTTGGGAGGAATAATAAGTGGCAAACTCCAAATACGGCTTTTGAAGAGACGAATTTGATACTAAATATTAAACATGGCGGTGACGGTATTATGATTTGTAGGTGCTTTGCTGCAAACGGAACAAGCGAAATAGTAGGCATTGATGGCACAGTGGACCCTAAAAGATACCAAAACTTTCAAATCCCTCCCTGTATCTCTTAACCAGTTTATTACACCTGGGCTTTGGTGAAATTTTTGGGGTCTTCCGCCGACTTCTCATCGATGGAAGAGACATTAAATAGGGATCTCAAGAGGTTTTTTTTTTAACGGGAAGGTCCCTCTCTAGGGCCTACCTGTTCACTTGACGGACTTTCTCCCTTTTAGGAGCTATTTTTTTTTCAGTATGTCTTAGGAGGATTTCGGAGAAATGAAAGAATGGAAGCTTCTTGTTTTACGTTGACTGGAATGTTCCATTTTTGATTGCGAAGTAGGGACGGATTCGAACTTGGCTTTGTCCTTGACCTTTGTCCTTGACCTTTGTCCTTGACCTACTTCGTCCAGCCCTAAGTTTATATATAGTTTATTTCAAGTTTCCTTGGAGTTATTTCTAATAAAAATTGTTCGAAATAAGCGACACATTTTGTCTAGAATCGTCATTGTTGCGTTAGATTAGCAGTATTTTATCTT